TCGTGAGTCTGCGAACATTGCTGTTGGATACATGTGCTGGATGATTTTGTGTCACGCAGACTGGTAAGATAACCGTTTGATAGGGGGCACCGCGATGATTCACGGGGCCCCTCCTTGCTGTGGGAGCCGCTCTTTGAGCACTCCCTCTTTCGTCCGTGTGAAGGACGGTCGTCTACCTCCCGTGAAGTTAATACATCACCAAAACAGTCTCACCTGATAAATAAGTGGCGTAGGCCGCAAACAAGCACAAGGTCCCGCCGGCATTTTCCTCGTCGGCCGTTGCGGGGGAATGTTCTTGCCTCTGTTCGGCGCGCTCGGCGACACCTACGGCGACGGCGACGAAGAGAAAGCCTCTTATTCGTGGACCAGACGAGGCACCGGCGGAGATACCGAAGCCGGTGGCAGCTCTTCCTCGTCGTCAAAATCAGGATCGCTCTCGACGAAAGAGGCTGCAGCTCGCCAGCGTACTTCCGCCTTTTCTTGTTCAGCCCTTCCAGAACATCAACATCATCGATCGTGACGTCGTTGATCCTCGGTCAGCAACCTCCGCTACGGCCAACGCCACAGCCGTAGCCGTTATCGGCGACAACTGCACCGTCACCAATGGCAACAGCAGCCTCTCGACAGAGTCCACAGCACAACCGTCTGCCTCGGGTATTGTTGCGGAGGGGGTCGGTACGACGGCGCTAGAGATCGCCACAGCGGCCTTGGCGAGCGCGGAGGCGTTGGCGCAGCAGCCGTTCTTTCCCGGGGCGAGAAAAAATATTGTGGTCGCAGTGTAAGACCTGTAGTCATTGGTAAAGTAGTTCGTTGTTGTTGTTGTTGTTGTTGTTGTTGTTGTTGTTGTTGTTGCTGTTGTCGTCGTCGATGCAGTGATGGTCCTCAGCACCATCCTACTGATACCCTACTTCACGCGAGGTGAATTGCAAGTACCAAGAGCACCGGAGCAGGTTTTGTCCTGGTCCTGATTGCCTCTGATGTGTTCGTCGTTACCTGTTCGTTTGTTGGTGGTACGTTATTTCCCGCTGCGAAGGTGAAGGAGGCTGCTTTCTTTGTGGCCGGACTGGTGAGACTAGCGTCGGATCACAAAACCAACGGCAGGGAGTCGGAGCAAAGAGCGAGATGGTGCCGATCTATCGTGCATACGCTGGAGCGAGCCGGAGAGGTGCTGGGAAAGGTACGTGTTGGACCCTTTCGGTTGTTCACTACATAGGCAACTCGGTTTTGTGAGGAATTATCTTGTGTCCCCCCTTCTCCCATCCCTCTCTGTCGGTTCTCTCTCGGTTGCATCATGCTTGCTCTTGGCTGTCTCTCTCCTCGGTGTTCTATTTCACCAAAGTCTTCGCGGGGTCTCCATTTTTAACATGTACACGCTCCATGATTGGCTGCGTCAACGTTTGTCTTCGCCCTTTTCCCGAAGGTGTGAAAGAAAGCCACAGCGGCAGCGTGTTGCGCGCCGTCCCCCATTCTAGGCCACGTTCACGTTCCTCTTTTGGAAAGGCGCAGTGTGCTGTGGTGGGCGCCATGTCCGTTTTTTCCTTTCATTGTCGTATCTGATGATTCCTTGTTTCGAACTTCATTTTGAAGTAGCGTCCACTATACTGTGAAAACTGATGGACTCGCCAAGGCCTGAGTGAGGTAGGCCCACCCTTGTGACCCACTCCATTTCACGTTGTTCGATTCATCCCTGTTTCCTCTGGCCGTCCGTTTCAGAAGGTAAAGACTGGGCGGGGGGACGGTCAGGCTGTGCGCGTTCTTCTCGACGACGTCCAGGACTCCATCGCCGACTTACTGCAGATCATAGAGTCTTACAAGAGCAAGAACGCCCTGTCCGAGGTATTCGTGTCCTCCCTTTGCAAAAAACGCCAGGAAGAGGCGGAAGTCGCCATGAAGACTGCCGTGCAGTCCTTCCACTCATCGTCAGTGGAGGCTCACGAATCGCTTCCAAACGTCGCGGCCGCCACCCTGTACTTTTCGTAGACGCGAGCAGTCGCGTTTCCGACGGATACACATGGGCAATGTACCGCTATGATCGTCCGGACCTCTGTTGTTGCTAGGGTAGCCTGCTTGTTTGACATGCCATGCTCTCTAACATAATCCCATCAGTCAGTTCCCGGAGGGTCATCAGATAGTGCATTATCTGGCAGGGACAAGAATTCGTGAAAACAACTACGCAAATCAGCAACACCGCTGGTTCGTGCCCTACTTGCACTCCAAAAACCCAACCTGCACAATTTACAGCGCATCCTTGTTCATTGTTCCCTTACGGCTGGACTTGCGCACGCATGAAATAGATAATTCAGCTTGGTCTGCAACTTCGCGTGGGTCAGGACCTAGCGTCCGTGGGAGAGGCGGTACAGATAGGCCTCGAGCTTCACCAACGCGCTTCCAAGGTAAGCTCTCCCCGGCAGGAAGCTTGCCTCTCCTCGGGGTTACTACCGACTACTGCATGCACTATTTCGTCGGTTTTCCAATAACGTTGGTGCTGGCCAAACTCTGGGCTGCAGATGGATTTCTAGCAGAGCAAATTGGCTAGCTAGCTGCCAACGCGCCAAGGACCGGATCAAGCATGTGCTTCCTCTACCCTGCACGCCCATACCGACATTAATCGCCTTCGGATGGCAATTATCAGGGCAGGCACGTGTGTACGGCTCCGTATGTAATAGATGGTGGACATGGCAGGCCAGCACGGAAGGCGGAAATGTAAAGAGGCCCTAGCTGATAAAGGTATCGAAGTTGTTCAGTAGAGGCTAACATATGGGTTGACACCCAACTATCGAAACAAGGTTTGTAACACACAGGTTTGGGTATGATACGTCTTCGGGGAGGACGTGCAGGCACCACTACTGTCTCGACTAGCTGAAGCTTGAGTATTTCTTATGTATTTACTGTTATTTTGATCTAGATGAGTGAGTTTGAGGTCGCCAGCAGGCAAGACGTTTGAGCCACAACGCTAGCCCTGCCTCATGCCTGCAGGAGTCAGCGATGATGTCGAAGAAAAAACGCGGGCAGCACCGCATGGATCAGCTGCAAATCTCCGCGTCGGACGTGGAAGGCACGAACGAAGTGCTGGGCAGGGGAGGATTCGGTACGGTTTACCTGGCCGACCTGCATGGCCTCAACACCGTGGCCAAGGTGGTGGTCTTTGAAGATAAAGAGGAAGACGGTGATGAGTACGATGGCCACTGCTATATGCGCTCTTGTCCTAGCGGAGGTAGCCAACCTTTGGAAACAATTCTCCGAGAATTGATATTGCGGTGCTTGCCGCCGCTCATTCGCATATCAGGTCATGGAGCTCCTGCCGGGCGGAGATCTACGCCATCGTCTGAAGCAGGCGAAAGAGCCGCTGAACGAGAAGGTTTTGAGGAAGATTACGAGAGATGTTTATTGTGGGATGGCTTTCTTGCATGCCAAGGCAACCGTGCACGCCGACTTCAAGTCGGCGAACGTTCTGTTCGACGCCACGGGAAGGGGCAAGGTGCGCGATGTGATACGACTCGTAATTGTTGTTGCGTTTTGCCCTTCGAAGTCGGAGCACATTCACCATGCTCTCTTCCTACGTATTTTCTTTTAACAGTCAGCTCCATGTCCATATACCGGTAAGGCGTTGCTGACTACTCGAACAAATGACCAGCCGCTGGCTGAAGGTCGTTAAGGATGTGGATTGTTTGAGTTCGAAGGCGTTAGAACACACGAAGAGTACGGTGTATGCACTCGTGCAGTGGATGGATCTTACATCCGGTTGATTCCCGAACCGCTTCATGTCGTTTTTTGGCAGATTCATTCCCTCATTGGGTTCCTTCTACAACGTGTGCCGTTTGCTCTCTTTCGCTGTATTCCTATTATTCATTCCTCGTACTTTTTCCTGAACTTCATTGAACAGTCGCGGCATTAGTGGTACTGCAAGAGTGAATGTTTCGCACATGCTCCGTTCGTGAGTTTACTGGATGGATCCTGGACCCGGCATGCTGTCTGTTTTCTTTTCGTCGCGTTCGCAGTGTCGACTTGCCTTTGGTCTTGTGTTTCCCAAAATAGCAGGTGGAATTGGCGCCACAGGCATTACGTTCCGCTTCGAGTTGCCCCCATCCATACTGCTGTCGCCGAAACTCGTGGGCATACCAATGGGAAGCACTATTGTAAAACAAGCGTCCGTTGTCGGACACGCGAGGATATGCGGCCCTCTCCCTGTTCCCGAATTGCCACCGGTCGCTCACTTCACCCATTATTGCGATCCACAGATTGCAGACTTCGGAACGTCACTTTGGACGCAGCACACGACACGCCTGGCCAAGTACACGACTTAGCCGAGAGAAATGATCGCAATGAGTCTTCCATGGGCTGCCCCTGAGGTGCGAATCAAAACGACCACTAAAGTCATTCGTACGACAAGCCTATGCAGTGCAATATTTTGGTCCACGGTTCATGAACGTCGTCCACTCATCATCACGACTTTGATACGCCCCTCCCAATATTTCGGTCTTCCAGGTTTTGATCACAGAGATTCCAGCTTCGAGGGTGACGTGTACAGCTTTGGCGTGGTAGCGTGGGAGTGCCTGTCCCGCGGGGTCCCGTGGAAGGGGGTCGCCGGGGTGGACAAGCTCATGCTGGCCGTAACTGCCGGAGAAAGACCACCCATCCCCGAAAACGCCCCCCACGACATCGCTGCCCTGGCGAGAGCATGCTGGGCTCATAATCCGGGCGCTCGGCCCACGTTCAAGAAGGTGTTGGTCGACTGCACGCTAGGTTCAACTAACGGTGAAAGTGAGGGTTCAACCAACGTCAACAGCATGAACATCAGGAGCAGCGGCAGGAACTGCAGCAGTGGCAGCACCAGCAACAACATCGGCAATACAGACCCCCACACCTCGTGAGGTCCGGGCTTCCTGTGATGAAAGCGGTGGCGATACTCGCTGTTCACTGGGTCGCCATCCCGAGCGGGCGCTGCCATCTTACTTGAAGCTTGTGAAGGTAGCGGTCTGGCAGCCTCAAGACCAAAAGACAGCCAAACAGAGCGCCTTGGTCATGGAAGCGTTTTCGGTTCTATTGAGGTTTGGGTTTGGGCTGCACGTGGGGAGACGCGTTTCGGTAACAGGGTTCCATGAGTTGTGTACGGTTGGGCTGCCGAGGGCCACGAACGACGTTGGGTTTTCGACCGTCCTTGTTGGGAGGGGTTGCTTGGAAATTTTTCTTTTTTCTTAGGTTGCGATGGGGCTGCCTTCACCTTCTCGGTCCCGCCGTCCCTCCACTATGGTTTCCCTTTGATATGACCGGGCGACGACTTCCTCGTATCAGAGGGCGTTTGCCATCCGTCGTATGTTGTGATGTATTGATTTACAGCTAGTTCTTGCAAGTCCTGTCAGTATTTCGTTATTCTTGAAATTGGCTTCGTTTTCAATAATTGCTTCGGGTTTTGCATTGTGGCCGAGCACTGCAAACGCCAATAGATCGAAGGCAATGCGTTGTTGCGAAACCGGCAAGCGTTGGTGGTGTGGGTCGTCCGGAACGATTGCTCTTCCTTAGGTAGTTTAGTGCTATGGTCACCGTAAGAGTAGCATTTCGGATAGAAATTTGGTGAATAATTGACACAGCCTCGGGTGAAGAGGTTACTTTGCCTCCCACATCTCTATATTCCTCGCGTTTAGCCCGAGGGCCCCTGTTTCTGCACCTGTTCGGCCTGCTACCTCGCTGCCGCGATGGAGACTTTTTTTCCACAAAATTGCCGGAGACGGGTTCTGTTGCCATCGTGTGCGGTCCCCCATGTAGCTCGAGGCAGCCCAAGGAGAAAGAACGAAAGTCATGATGGCCAGAGGCTTCCGCATGAAGATCGGTTGCATCGAGAACTTTGGCTTCATCGGTGAGGAGGGGATCCAGGTGGAAACAAAGCAAACTTTCTCTTGCTTGGCCAACACGTTCGGCCTGCGGCGCGCCGTGCTGCACGTGCCAGCCATGCCTACTTTTCCTGTTGGCACGTACGCCATATGTCGCTTTGTAGTGATTGTCGCTACTTTGTTGCTGTCTGTTGCTGCCCGCCATTTTCACTCTCATAGTTGTTCAAGTTGTTGGTGTTGCAGTTGTTTCTCTCGGAGAGAAGAAACGTTCTGCAGTGATTGCCAGTCATGTCAGCCGGCTGCCGGATGGTGGCTGACTCGAACAATTGACTTCGTTCGTCGGGTATGCTGATCTTTTCAGGCGCGCCGTGTGGATTGTCTATGTAATAGTACTGTAGTCGACCCCCAAAACTCAGGTTCAATTGTTTGGCTGGGCTTTTCGTCCTGTCACGCGGGGTGGCTTGTTGGTGACTTCAGACACATGAATTCGTTGATTGTTGACGGTATTGGCAAGCTTCCTGCAGTGCTGTCAATGCTTCCGTTGATCCTTCCAGCGTATTTCAGTATTTTCAATGCGCACACAACAACATATTGGTGAAATTGAGAGCGGAGCATGAATATGAGAGTGAGTTTTCGAATTGGAAAGTGCTGTTTGAGAGTGTTCGATATACGGGCGACACCGTGACAGACAAGATTTGACCGGAATGGGAAGCGCAGGATTATGTGTGGTCGATTTGTAGACATTACTGTTTCGAGGCGGAGAAGCCAAAATCTGGGCTTGTAGCGGCCGGTTCAAGTTTGCTAATGGAGTAGTAGCCAACAATTCCCCTCCTTTTCAAGGTTCTTTCCAAGGTGAAGCACTCTCCACCATGTATCGACCAAAATCTCATGCACCTGTATCTGGCCATCAGAATAGGATTGGTTGTGGCCCAGCGCACTGCCGGACTTTGCAAAGCTTCGCTGAGTCCGCTGTGCAGCTGCAGCTGCATTCGGTAACGTGTGTGTGTTCAACGGCGGGATGGTGGTCAAAGGAGCAGTCCTAGTCACGTTCGCCCTACCACTGTCCGGAAACGACGAGTTCGTGTAATACAGGAACGACATGGCACTGGTTTTCAACCACAAGGTGGAGTCATCGGACGCGACTTCCTCTGGGTCCAAATAACCACTAAAATCTGAAGCATCTAGCAGAGGATGCCGGGGTANGGTCCAAATAACCACTAAAATCTGAAGCATCTAGCAGAGGATGCCGGGGTACTTTATCATCAAGCATCATCCCGAAGGCTCCCTCCGGAGTGTGAAACTCGAAATCACCCATCAACGGTATCGGCATTGCCTCATCCTTGGGCAGGTCGTGGACAGCAAAAAGCCCGAGACCGTGGATGGAAGAAGGCTGCCAAGGACACAGGGAAGGAAAGGGGAAAGCGGCCGTACGTGACAGGAGTTTACGTGTCAGTTTTTTTAGCAGATAGATTAAGAACGTCGGGAATGGCGTAACACACGAGGGACAATATTATGTCGTTATCGGGCGATTACCACACTCACTCGTTTATTGGTATGATGTAGCGGCAGGAGACAAGTTTGAAGACTTACCTCAATCTCCACGTGGAATTCATCAGCGAAAACTCTTGCGCTGTAGAGGCAGGAGGTCTCCTCTGTTTCTACATCCGGACCGGCGAGCTCTTGACCTTCTAGATGCCTCGGGACTGCCTCATTTGAAAGGTTGTTCTCGGGAACAATAGACGGTAGGGTTGATCCACTTATGATAACGTTCGCCTTGCAAAGCTCCGCAAACCACCCATGCCTCATGGCGTCTGTGCACGCCGCGTCTACCGCCTTGTCGACGTCGTCCTTCTTCGACATGTCCGCCACCAAAGCACAAAGCGTCCTCCCATTGCCTAGCACCAGAGGCGCGATGGGGTTTTCATCGAATGCCGTAACCAGCACACTGTCTCCGGCCACGGCGAACCTGGGAACGCAACGAGTTTGGGTACGGGGCAACGCCGTTCGTTATAAAGCGACCTTGTCTTGGCGCGGCAAAAAACACGCAAGTGCTTTCAGTGAACGGACCCTTCGAGTTCGAGGATTAGTTCCTCATCATCTACTCTTTTCTCGTGAAACTTTCAATTGAACATGTACGGCAGGCAAGACCGGGGACAGACATCTCCCTCAGCCTGAACCAATTCACTGATTTTGAGCGTATTCCCCCGCCCCTTTCGTCTCAAGGTTGCGTAAAGGAAAACAGGCATCATCCCATAATAACTCACAGAGCAATAGAAACGCCAGAATCAAAGTACCCAGAGAGACATACACAAAGGAACACATAGCGCAACAAATCGCCACGACAATCGGACAACTCCATCGTGGGTTTGCATCACATGCGTTACGCCCCAAAGCTCAGAAAATCATGCTAGCCTGCAGTAGGCTCGTGCGTCTGTTCATTGACTGGCTCGTGAGATTTTCTCGTCGTACAGAAGAACGGGGGGCGGTCCATCATCACCAGCTAGAGAGGGGG